TAAAAATCTACTCTCAAATTATGATATAGCAAATTTCACGTCAATATTACTAATTTTAAGGAATGGTAGGCTTCTGCTAAGTCCTACTCGCCACTATCATATCATTAATTGTCATCATTACTTGATAATTCACTTGTAGTGAAAGTGTCTCAGAGGGTATTCTTGTGGAAGGAGTCAAGATGCTCAGGCAACGCAATTAGAGAACTATGAATTAAATGTTAAAATGTTTCAAAAATTGAAGTGAAGTTTAATTTGATTTTGATTAGTTAGTTTACAAATCTTCATAATTAATATTAGAGCTTTAATTTTTTTAAAATTAAAACTGATATGTATTATTTTTTAAAATTTATTATTTTAAGAGAATAATAAAAATCAAAACATCAAAAAATATAGATAAAATTATTTAAACATCTTTAATAAAATATTTTTATATATCAATTTATTAAAAATATTAAAAAAATTTTATTATCAATCTTAATATTGGTTGTCCCTTCCTCGCGTGCCCTGACAAGTCCATCTTGAACCTTGATAAAGAGGCCGGAAACCTTGACAATTACATTGGTAACAGTGGGTTACTTGCATCTTGAGGCAATAGTATTGGTAGTGCCCATATTTTTAAACATTTCTCTAGAGCAAATCGCGTGTTGATTATTTGTAGGGCTCATATTATTTAAAGCAAATCGCGTCTTGATGGCATCAAAGAAAGACTTTATTGTACTCCAATGACCATCATAACCCTATTGAAGAAAAACAAAAACCATATCACTACAATATTAAATAGTTACAATAGATGTAAATACGAAATTTGATTTGCAAATTGCAAGAAGTTCGAATTTTGTTACATTTTCGGACAAGATGTTTATCGAATGTTTTGTATTCTTTATCTCAAAATAATAAATATTTTTATTATAAATCTATATAAAAATAAATAATTGATTTTAATTTAATATATTAATTATGTATTTAATTAAAATATTTCACATAATATTAATATTAAAAATAAATAAAATTTAACATGAATATCA